CTATTTGTCAGATTATGTGTGTGATTTTCCATCAAGTACCTCAGCTGCTCTTGTCACTTCAGGTAGCTTATATCCCATTTCTTCATTTCATTCACTTACACTTTTGTCTCCTTCTCACAAGGCATTTAGTATGTTTCTCACACACACTACTGAGCCACAATCCTTTTTAGAGGCAGCTAATTCACCTTGCTGGTCAGAGGCTATGAACCTTGAGTTAGATGCTCTTCACAAAAATGGGACTTGGATTCTCATCGATCTTCCACAAGGAGTGAAGCCTATTGGTAACAAGTGGGTATACAAGATCAAATATAAATCAGATGGGTCTATTGAGAGATATAAGGCACGTCTTGTCGCAAAAGGCTATAATCAAGTGGAGGGACTTGATTTCTTCGATACTTTTCGCCTGTAGCAAAGCTGACCACAGTCAGAACCCTACTTGCCATTGCAGCTATACAAAATTGGCATCTTCACCAATTAGATGTGAATAACGCTTTCCTCCATGAGGATCTCCAAGAAGATGTATATATGACTGTTCCTGAAGGAGTACAGGTGACAAAACCAAATCAGGTTTGCAAGTTGCTGAAAAGCTTGTATGGCCTCAAACAAGCTAGTAGGAAATGGTATGAAAAGTTGACTCACTTACTGCTTAAGGAAGGCTATATTCAGTCTACTTCTGATCATTCTCTCTTCACTTTGTGCAAAGATAATTATTTCACTGCCCTTTTAGTATATGTAGACGATGTGATCCTTGCAGGAAATTCTTTGAAGGAATTTGAGAGAATCAAAATTATTCTTGATGCTGCTTTCAAAATAAAAGATCTTGGCCAGTTGAAGTATTTTCTTGGATTAGAAGTAGCTCATTCCAAGGCTGGAATCACAATCTCCCATAGAAAATACTGCTTGGACTTGCTTAATGATTCTGGTCTGCTTGGTTCCAAACCAGCTTCCACTCCTCTGGACACTTCCATCAAACTGTACAATGATGATTCAGCTCCCCTTGAAGATGTTTCCTCATACAGAAGATTGGTTGGCAAACTTCTCTACTTGAACACAACAAGGCCTGACATCACCTTTGCATCCCAACAGTTGAGCCAATTTATGCATTCACCTACTGTAGTTCATTACAAAGCAGCTTGTAGAGTGGTAAGGTATCTCAAGCAAAATCCTGGTTATGGTATTTTCTTCGATATAACTTCTGATTTGCAGCTCCTTGGGTACTCAGATGCAGACTGGGCTGGATGTTTGGATACACGAAGATCCATCTCTGGTCATTGTTTCTTTCTAGGTAAATCCTTGATATCTTGGCACGCAAAGAAACAACCCACTGTATCAAAATCCTCATCTGAAGCGGAATACCGCGCTTTATTATCTGCTGCATGTGAAGTGCAATGGTTATTATACTTGCTTAAGGACTTGAACGTGTCTTGTGCTAAGATTCCTGTGATGTATTGTGACAACCAAAGTGCAATTCACATAGCGTCAAATCCAGTTTTCCATGAAAGAGCGAAACACTTGGACATAGACTGTCACCTTGTGCGTGAGAAAGTGCAGAAAGAGATTCTTAAACTGCTTCCCATTTCATCCTCAGAGCAACTTGCAGATTTCCTTACAAAAGCATTGCCTCCACCTAAATTTCATTACTTCATCTCCAAGCTTAACATGATAAACATTTATCATGCTGCAGCTTGAGGAAGGCTATCAATACTGTTATCCTAAGTGGGCTCTATGGCCCATAATAGTATAGACTTATAGTAACTATCTGCATCCTCCCTTATTGTGTGCTTCTTATCACGTGAGATAGCTACATCACACTTTCAATGCTTTTCCTTTATTTTATAGTTTTCCTGATCTTATCTTTGAGTTAGTTAGAAAATGATGTAAGAGAAGTGTGACTATCCCCTTATATAAAGGATCCTATGTACCTTCCAATTAATTAATCAATGGAGAATAACTTTTAGATCTCATTTATATTTCAGTTTTCTCCCTTTTGTTACTTAATACTAAAGAAGTCAAATTAGAAGTAAACAAATAAAATGAATTAAAGTTGGTTCCTACTAGATTCGTTTTAGTAGTCAATATTTACGACAAATTGAATCAAATATTTAATGAAGTCAAACCATATGTCAATATAATTTTTAGATAGAACGATATATCTTTTAAAATCATATCAGAGATAAATGTGAGAGACTAATTAAACCAAATACCAATGAGTCATATTAGAAGTCAAAATAACTTACTTGTTTGGCTCTATATATTTGTAATGTATATTTTTAGCTCTATGCATCTCAATTACATATCTTATGTCTTTCTTACATGGTATCAAGAGCTTTATTGATCTTAACGGGCCTACGAGGAGAAAAAAAATCAGCAAGAAAAAAATCACAATAATCTTTAAACACCATAAATAGCTTATGATAGCACTTGTTTACCTCCACCTCTTATGTTGGTAGGAGAAAGCTATCATTTGTGGGCTGTAAAAATAAAAACTTACTTGAGAGTTTAAGATTTACGGAATGTTGTGGAATATGGAATCAACTCGCTACCTCTTCCAAATAACCCAATAGTTACTCAAATAAGAAATCACAATGAGGAAGTGGCAAAAGAAGGAAGAACATTTTCCACAATACATGCAACACTACATGATGATATATTTATCAATATCTTGAATTTTGAGACTGCAAAAGAAGTTTGGGACAAGCTGAAGAAGGAGTTCCAAGGGAGTGAAAGAACAAAGAAGATGCAAGTGTTGAACTTGAGAATAGAGTTTGAAGCACTAAAACTGGAAGAAACCAAAATTGTTAGAGAATTTTTGTGATAGAATTTCAAAGATTATTTCACAGATCAGAGATTGCTAGGAAAGGAGCTCAATTATCAAAGAGTTGTGGGAAAAATCATGTTGTGTCTTTCAAAGAGGTTTGAAGCAAAAATATCTTCTCTCGAATAAAATAAGGACTTTTCTCAAATCACACTTGTAGAGCTTGTTAATACTTTGTAAGCTACTGAACAGAGAAGATCGTTAAGGATGGGAGAAAATGGTAAAGGTGCTTTTGTGACTAGCACCAATGGAAAGCTATAACATTTTTGGGAAAAATTATTTTGGTGAGAAGAAAGGAAAAGAAAAAAATGGAGGAAATCCGATGTGTTTGTTGCATTTCAGAGTTTCAAACTTATGATTGAAAAAAGATTGATTGTCAAATTAAAAAGCTCATATCTGATAATAGAATTGAGTATACAACAAGGAGAATTTTAATCTTTTTGTGAGCAAGCTGGAATCCAACATCAATTTATTATTCCTTACACTCATCAATAAAATGGAGTGAGTGAAAATAAGAACTAGGCAGTCATGGAGATGGATCGATGTTTTCTTTTTGAGAAATATATTCTTAAAGTATTTTGGGTATGTAAACACCTCAGTGTACTTGCTGAATTTGTTGCCTACCAAAGTCTTGAAGGGAAAAACACCCTTTGAAGCATGGTATAAAATAAAGTTAAGTTTTGAACATTTAAAAATATTTGGATGTGTGTGTTGTGTCTATGTTCCAAATGTGAAAAGAGATAAATTGGAAACAAAGTATGTGGTTGGTAAATTTTTGGGGTACAACAGTAACTCCGAAGGGTGTCAAATTTATAATTTGGAGACCAAAATAATTCCGGTTAACAGAGATGTGAAGTTTGATGGGTTCTCTAAATGGAATTGGGAGAAAAGTCAAGTTGGAGTTTCAAGTAAGGTATTTCCTATCGAAGATAGTTCGAAAGGTCAAAATTCAAAAGATGAAGGAGAAAATTATGATAGGTTGATTTTCAAACCCGAGGTACTATAACTTTGGATGATATTTATGTCTGATGCAATATAGCTACATTACAACTGCTTGAAGCGGTAAAACAACAAGTAAAAAGTAAGTTATTAGTTTACCAGGTGATATTTAGGTTATATCTTATCGTGTCCACATAGATTGGTGTATTGAAATGCCATTTGATAAATCTCTTGTTAATGAGTTTGGGTTTAAATGGGTTGAAAGTAAACGCGGGAATTAAAAGTTATCAACAGGAAAAGAATTCATTATTAGGAGAAAAGACTTATCAGGCATACATAATAACCCATTCTTCACAAACTTAAACCTACCGACTTGTCATACTCAACCTACGAGACTCATCAATGTCATCACGTATCAAACACAATACCCATTATATCATCTCAGAGGTCAACCGTGCTACTCGTGTTAAAATCTCTTAGTCAACATAACTAACACAGAGGCATTAATCACAGACACCCAAGTGAATAACAGTGCTAAATCTATCTCTAAAATTCATACACTATTAGATAACTATCCTAGATAAAAATTCGAGCAGTGTATGTCTATAACAATCCAAACCCCTAAGCATAGAGCAAAAATCCAGGATAACAATCAGCAAAGATTTGTAAAGCAAACTATATACAATGCCAATGGCGACAAATAGTTCAAAGAAAATACATATACAAACCCAACCAATAGAGAATACACAAAGAAAAATAAAAATGAACCACAAATCTACCGGTTTGTCAACACCAATCAAAGAGAAATCCACCTCGGATCATCTGTATGCAAGCTCCATAGTTGTTATCTAAGCTAATCTACCCAAATATGAGGTTGATGGAATTTTAGAACAAAAATACCCCAAAGACCATAATAAAAAATGAACTGAAAATGAAGTTATAATACAAATCTCAGCAGACCGCGCTTAGCGGGCTCACCGTGCTAAGCGGGTTGCGCGATATTTACATATTAAACCGACATAAACCGCGCTAAGCGCGCTATCTGCGCTAAACGGGCTCCAAAATTAAGCTTCTGCCAAAATGTCAAAACGCAAGTAGCATGCTATAAAATGCGCAAAATGCGCTCGCGCTTAGAGTCCTTTTGCGCGCTAAGCGGGCTTTCCTGGACAAAACTTCTCAAAACTGGTCTTTTATTCTGAAAACGCGCATGCGAAGCCGTGCCTTCGACACCTTATTCCTCGATGTTCTAAAATGAAACAAATACCTACAAAATGAATGGAAAAACATCAAACGGTACACTATGTACACAAAAACACAAATAAACACAAACTAAACGTATTTAAACAAAAGTTAGGTTTACTCAACAATTATTAACAACAAAGAGTCGATAAGTGCAACAAAAAGTATATACAAAAATAACTACAATTTGCACTTATCAATAGCCTACTTGGTATGCTGATGCTGCTAATGTTGAGGGATGGAAAGCTGCCATGCGAGAGGAGATGAAGACAATAGAGAAAAATCAAACATGACAACCTTTAGACAAATCAATAAATCAAAATATTATTGGTGTTAACTGGGTTTATAGAACCAAACTAAATCTTAATGGTTCTACATATAAGCTTAAGGCCAGATTGGTGGTAAAAGGTTATTTTTAACAATATGGTGTTGATTTCTTAAACACTTTTGCACATGCTGCAAGACATGATACACTTAGGTTGTTGATTGCATTAGCAACAAAATTGGGATGAAATATGTATCATTTTGATGTTAAATAATTTTTTTTGAATGGGTGCTTGATGAAGACATTTATGTCGATCAACATGAAGGTTTTAAGATTTCATGAAGTGAAAATAAAGTTTACAAGCTTCACAAATCCCTCTAGGACTTAAAACAAACACCAAGAGCATGGTATAGTAGAATTGATGGATATCTTTTGCAAAGAGGTTTTAAAAGAATTGAAAATGAACTTACTTTGTATGTGAAGAGGTTGAAGAATGATGTGAAACTAATAGTGTCTTTGTATGTTGATGATTTGTTGGTTATAGAGAATGAATTCAATTCTCTAAGTTAATTCAAGAAAGCTACAAAAAATGAATTTGAGATGACAAATTTGGGTGAAATTAAATATTTTCTTGGAATGGAGATCTTTCACTCAACTGCTAGAACCTTCATTTCCACACCTCTTGTTATGAATGAAAAATTATTAAAGGATGATGGTGATAATAGTACAGATGCTTCTGTTTATAGAAGTATAATTGTAAGTTTGTTGTATCTTTCAGCGACCATACCTGATATAATGTTTGTTGCTAGCTTACTTCTCAGGTTCATGCATTTTCCAACTCAAGTTCATCTTGATGCAGTTAAGAGAGTTTTGAGGTACATAATGGGTACATATGATTATAGTTTGTTTTTTCTGAAAAATGAAAGTGGAGACCTTCAAGGTTATGCAGATAAAGACTGGGCTAGAAGTGTAGATGATGTAAAAAGTGCCTCTTGTTATGTTTTTTCATTTGGCAATGTTGTGTTATCATGGAATTCAAAGAAACAAATTTTTTTCGCTCAATCATCAGTTGAAGCGGAGTATTTTTTTGTTGCCGCTGCAACAAATCAAACTATTTAGCTAAGGAAGATTTTAACAAATATGGGACAATTTCAAAACAAAGCTATTGTTATATGGGTGGATAAAAGATTTTCTATTACCATAGCTAAGAATCGAGTCCAGCATTGAAGAACCAAACACATCAAGGTTAAATATCATGATATTAGAGAAACTGAAAAGTCAAAGGAAAGTAGTGTAGGGCATTGCAACTCAGAAAATCAGATTGCAGATATAATGACCAAAGCTTTTTCCAAGGGAAAGTTTAAGAATTGAGATCAATGTTTGGAATATTCAAGAAAAATATCTAAGAAGAGTGTTAAAAATTGATATTTTTCTAACATATTAATTATTTACTTGTTGTTGTTACTATAATTATTAGATTGTTGCTTGTTAAGATAGTAAAGTAGGCAAAAGTTGTTGATGACTACTGTTTAGTGTAGTTTTGTTGCAGATTTTGTTTTCAGTCTAACAAACAAGCTTATTATTTGCCTTTATATATATGTATATTTTCATCTTTATGCAACTTAGTAACATATCTTCCGTCTTTCTTACACTTACAAAGAAAAAATTTGGCTGAAATAAATGAAGGATACTTCGTAAAGGTCACACCTAGGACTGACAATGAACCAAACCAACTCGAAAATAGTTCGAAATTCGATTCAAAAATTAAATTGTTGAACTAGGTTCATGAACAAAATGAGCTGAATATGAGCTAAAAACTAAGTTTGTTAACTAAATGAGTTGAACTTGAACTATACATAGTTCTACTCGTTAGGTTCATGAGTCAATTCGATTATATATGAGATAGATTATATTGTCTTTAAGAGTAAGTTTAAAGATTTGCTCTAAATCTTAGTCTCATATTTTCTTTTAATCTAATGGTTTTATTTGATAATGTATATTCTCAAGCGAGCAAAAATATTTCTACAAATAATTATACAAATAAAATTAACATCGTATAAATTTCAATCTTATAACTTTTATTTTATTCCTATATTTTTTATTTAAAAATATTAATTTAAAATGTCACACACACACACACATATATATATATATATATATATATATATATATATATATATATATATATATATATATATATATATATATATATATATATATATATATATATATATATATATATATATATATATATATATATATATATATATATATATATTAAAAAATTACTTTTAAGTCCGTGAAATAAGCGAGTTGAACCTAACAAAATAAACCTAACGAGTTTAACTGAGATGTTCGTGAATTTCTAATAAATCGAGTTTGAGCTGAAAAAAGTTCGTGATGAACTCGAACTCAAACTCGAATTCGGCCAATTCTTAACGAGTCAAGTTTGAGCTGAAAAAAATTCATGATGAACTCGAACTCGAAATCAAACTCGACTAATTCTTAACGAGTCGAATTGAACTTAAACGAGTTCAACTCGACTTGACTCATTTTTAATCCTAGTCACACCTCAACAAAAAAAAGACCTTTCTAAAAGGTCGCCCAAATAAATGGTGAGACCTTATCAATATTAATATATAAGATTATGATTTGGATATGCATTTTCTAATTAATATATAATATTTTTATAATTTATACGACGACAAAAGTTGTTGAGAAAAATACAAAATTGCCGCAAAATATATCTTTTTACAATAAAAAAAATATCTTTACATGTCGTTGGTATAAAATATTATTAAAAAAATGATTATGGCTTTTGTCCTTTGGAGCTATTCCAAATATAAATAAATAGAATTAGAAGATAAATAATAAAAAATATTATAGAAAATGATAAATAATTCTATTAAAAGTAACAAACCTTTTTTAATTTTCTTAAATAAATAACTTTAAAAAATAACAAAAAAAGAAGCACTATATATTAATAAGAGTACAATAAAGAAAACTTATTCCATCGTATATGTATGAGACAAATCAAAAGCACACACTTGACAAGTCATGCAAACCTCTACCTTGAAACATTGAAATTCAAAAGAAACCACCAACCAAAATCATTGCTAGAATAAGATGACTCAATACCACCATGAACAAGGATGAAGATGTGATCAAATTGGTGTTTGCACTACTTTTTCCCTTTTGTGGACTCTTCACATTATTGGCTCCCCCTGTAACTGTCTTTGATTTCTTTAACACCTCTGCATGTTGAACAACATGCAAATATCCCACAGTTGGACTTTGAGTCCTTTTTTGCGTTGAAGTACTTAAACCTTCCATTTGTGATGTGGCTGTGATCTCATGAGCTGAAAAAGTGAGAATGAAGATCAAGAAAAATAACCCTAAAAATAATGTTTTGAACATATTTTCAACTTTTTTTTTTAAGAAACTATTGAGTTAGAGGTGTTAAGAGGCACTTGAATTAGTAGAAAATTTCATCGTTTATATAGTGGTATTCTTAGTAGAGAAAATACTTGAATTAGATTCTTTGTAGAGATGTATATGTGGTGTCAAATGTTTTGTTTAATTATTCTATATATTGTGATTAACGAATATAATAAGATGACACAAAAAGTAAACGAATTTAGAGCTTTTTAGAGATAACAGAATATCATGTAACCGAAAAATTAGAAAAGAATATATATTCTTGCAATATAGCATGAGAAAAGAATAAATTCTTTATCTTTGGTAAGATTTGTATTAATACTTTCTGTCGTGAGGATGATTTGAAACAAGGATAGATACCCTTTGTATAATTCATGTTTTTTCACATATTTCCTTATTTGAAAATAAATCTTAATTGAGATACATACATATAAAAAATAAAAAATATAAACATTTTTTTAACTCATTTTTATCATTGCATTCGCAAGACCGACGAAGAAAACCCAATAACAAATGTTGAAAGAAAAGTTATACAAACTCTCGTATGTGTTAAGGATATGTGATCGCACCTTTCATCATATCTCTCACCATTAATATCTAATCAAACGTTCATATGTATAAGACTACATATCACATGCGAACGATTCTAACCGCTCATATACTATATAAAGATCAGATCACACACATCACATCATACATCATTTTAAGTATTTAACTCATTATCTCTCTCATATTATTTTTCACTCAGTAATTGAGTTTAGCGTTGGAATGTTAATCTTTCATCCTCACATTTCTCCACCATAATAGAAGTTTGCTCGACCGTTGCAAGACCTCATTCCATCACTCCACTACTCGTTTATGGTTCCTGAAAGGAACAATGACGCCATTTGTGAGAAACGACTCTTGATTCCCATAGTTTTTCACGAAAAACCACTGCCTCTTCACCAAGGATGTAGATCATCGATCTGATCTCTCAGATCATTGATTTCCTTCTCATAGATCATTAATCTTCTTCTCTAAAGATATTGATCTCTTTCTTGAAAAAATCACAAACTCTTAAAGCTATGGTAATTTCACAGATTACCAAGTCAGTCGCTCAACGTCAAGTCTTCGTTGCAGCTGCTAAGGCTAACAAATATCCACCCACTCTTCCAATAGAGAACGATCTAGTCCTTGTAACCTCCATTTTCACTCCTACGCAAGAAGATCTTTCTCCTTAAAGAATTGACTCGAGAATGTTCCAAACCTTATTGTTCTTCCAACCTATGCAATTGTTCTGCTAAGGCCAAAATTGGCAGCAACCTCCTTCATAATCGTTGATTCATTGGCACGAGATACTCTGTAACATTCCACTGCAAGTTAACCTAGGACTTAAGAAAATGAATTGTTGAATAATGTCTACAATTAGGCACAACCGTGAAATTCCCAAACCATGGCTGACAAGATTCTCTGAATTGAATATAGCTTGCAATGTGCTCCTCCAAGATCTAATGCAACATGTGAAGAAGCATCACACTGTGACCATGGGATCATATCACAATTATTTCCAATAGGTGAAACCTCACCACATAAAGCAATTTCAAAGTCACAAAGTCATAAGCGCGGAAAAATACATAATTACTCCCTCGCCTCATTTTGAAGGGAGATGTGACAACCCTGCTTTACCATAGGTTCGTTGGGCCCATAGTTCACAACACTACTCTCGAAAAAGGGAAAGGTATGACATGAAAGACCTGTTCTCCGAACATAAGAGAAACATGTTATCCGCGAGCATTTTCGACAGCAGGATCCCACAATCCCTTTGGGAATCCCCTAAAGCTGTAAAATTACGACGACATTGGGGGATCCAGATGAGCATGTTGAAGATGTCGACAACATGGTGGATTATTACCATGCTCTGGGAGCCATGAAGTGTAAGCTCTTCGCACTAACCCTCAAATGAGCTCCCATGACTTGGTTCAAAACCCTTTCAAATGGGAGTATAATTTTGTGGGAGGAACTATATGATTTGTCCACTACTTAGTTCACAGCTCAAAAGCGGAAGCCTACTACCATGGTCATACTCTGTGAGACCATACAAAAGAATAAAGAACCCATGTGTGAGTACAATAACATGTTTACCAATGTGGAGGTGGATGTAGTAGGTTCAAACGATGGGTTAAAGTGTTGGATCTTCAAAAAGGAATTGAGGTTAGACGACATTCTCAGAGAAAAAAATGGATAGAAGAAGCCTGCAATTTAAGAGAATACCCAATGAGCAAGGAACCCCCGGAATGATCATACTCTAGAAAAGGATAATAAATGTCTTAAAGATGATGAGGAGCGAGGACTTTGGTCCAGATTTTCTGCATACACTTCTTTAAAAACATCAACAGAGAAAATCTTACGAGAATGTGTGAGAACTGAGTTCAAAGAATCCAAGATTAGGAACTCCTAATCGGTTAAGGAATCATCCAAGATGGATAAATTAAAGTATTTTTGTTTCAACAAAAGTCATAACCATGATACTAATAAGTGCATCCAATTAAAAGATATGGCTGAAGAGATGATTGAAAAGGGTCGGCTCACCGGGCACACTTGTAATGGAGTTCAGAGAGGTAACTGAAACCATAAAAGGCCATAGAATAGGGGATGAGTGCCCAAATAAGAAATTATTTTCTAAACCTTAGAAGGATTCTCCTAAGAAGACTATCGAGAGATAAGCATACAAAAAGGCAAGAAGGACTATAGCAACAAAGAAGAAGAACACCTCAAGGGGAAATGATAATACATCAAGTTCACTACTAGGGGACTTCCTATAATAAATAAACCCTGCAATGGGACTATGAAGAGAGGATTTTTTTTTAGTTAAAGGAAATCAACAAAGAATAAGGAACAACCTCTAACGGGAAACTGGAAAATCCAAACATCGGTTTCAGGGATAGAGAAAAGGTACGCGGAATCCCAAATGAGATTTTCCTCCAGTGGTAACAGTAATAATATCCAATTTTTATGTAACCAAGATTCTCATCAATGGGGAAAATCGTGTAACATGCAGAACTCTTTGAGAAGATAGGACTAAAAATAGAAAAGTTGTGGCCATATGAAGGATTCAACCTACAACGCTTCAGTGGAACCATAACTCACCCTTAAGGAAACATTGAGTTAGGTTACCTTAAGAGAAGGGTGAGACACCAAAATGATAAACATGCAATTACTAGTCATTTCGTGCAATAGCGTCTACAATTGTATCCTAGGAAAACCATTCACAACAATGTTAAAAGTGATGACCTCACCGGTCCACCTCAAATTAAAGTATCACAACATCCATGAAGAGTCGATAATAATATGTGTCGACTTATCTAGAGCATGGAGGATACACAAAAACTTGCAACATGACGATAAGGTAAAAGATAAAGAAAAGGAAATGGATATCTGCATAGCTTCTCTCACCAAGCAGCTAGAGCGGATAGTAATTGAGTTTCCCTAAAAAGAAAACTAAGGATATTAGAAAGTACTCAAAATTCGTTCCAACTTATGAGATGTATAAGAAATCTCGAGTAAGTTCGGGTAACGCCATATCAACACATTTGGAAAAGAATAAGAAGTAAATACATCCATTGGTTAAACTTTCCTTTATTGTATATTCATGTAATACCCTCTTCTTCAAAATGAATGAAAAAGTTTTACAGAATCCTCTTCTTTATGATTATAAAGGACAACAAACAAATCAGAGATGTAGTTGTAAACACCACAAGCATACAACTAAAGCAATCAAAACCCCACAACAAACAAATCAGGGGTGTTGTCACAAACTCCAAAAGCATACAACCAAAGAAATCAAAACCCCATGATAAAAGTCACATAGATAAAAACAACAAATAAAAAATGGTAATTCAGACTCACCCCCTCTTGGTAGCTAGGCACCATATGTAGAGGTGAGTCCTCACTGTAACACCCTTATAACCCTACATGTATTTTAAATATAATTTACGGAATAATTCAAGGAAAATCACCACTCAAGGGTGTCACACTTCATAGAAAACATCATAATTACAATCATGCTTCATAACACGGGTTACATCAATAATAATTACACCTTTTTATACTTTAAAACAGTCATTCAACAACATCGCAGTGGATTCATCGTCATAAATAAACTTCTTCATAAAATAAAACTCATAGTATTTTAGTCTCGTCAAAAGTTGGAATTAAAAACCAGTCTAACAATTAAACCATCATAAAATGCGTCAACATAAAAGGAACATAACATTCGCAAAACAAAGAATTTCCAACTCGATGTTACATATCAGAGCAAGACACCACTAATATGACACAACTAAACTAAATACTCCAGAGCTATCTTCAATGCTCCTACAAGCTACTTCTGATCATCTGTGTGTTATCCACGTGGAGGAAACATTCAAACAGAAAGGATGAGTAATCATGATTCATTATAAGGGATATAAGGAAAAGATTAGTAGTTATAAACAACATCATCATATAAAAACACATGTCATTTATCAACACATCATACTCACTGATACATCATAATAGCACTTAGACATCTTTCATCATCAAAATCATCATATACTCACATAGTTCACAATTATCATTGTTGTACCCCAAAATTTTCCCTCTCATGTTCTCCAAGGTCTTCCCCTACATGGTTGGTCACAAACCTTTTCCTAAAGAAAAGGAAAATTTGTGAGTGATGTTTCTAAGTTTCCTTCGATTGGCATCTCCAAAATGCCTTTCGATTGGCATCTCCAAAATGCCCTTCGATTGGCATCTACAAAATGCCTTTCGATTGGCATCTACAAAATGCCTTTCGATTGGCATCTCCAAAACGCCTTTCGATTGGCATCTATATAGCGCCCTTCAATTGGCATGGACAAAGGTCCTTCGACTAACCT